TGCTTGGATTGATTACCCCCAAAAATCCTTTCAAGAGGAAAAATGGGTGTGGTGGTGTGGGGTGGGGACAGTTCCTATCCAAGCTTCACACCCTACAGTTTAGAGTCTGTGGATAAAAGTCTCTCATTCAGTTGTTACATACAGTGGTCACTGCATTTGTGTATTCATTATGCACATTAGACAGTCAAATATATTCCTTCCAGTAAATATGAATAGTTTAATTTGTTCTGCTGAAAGAGAGACAACTATCAGAAATAGCAATAAAAGTCACATAATGAAATAAGAATACTAGAAAATCCGAGGATTTTAGTACCGTCCATTATTCATTCAATTCCTGGCAGCCTTTATGATTACAAATCACTTGATTGACTAACTAGACATTCTCAAAGTGAATTATGAATAAGGTTCATTTTTCCTGGTTGAGAGTTGGTACATGTTGTAACTCTTCCACTTTGTGATATATCAAGTTCTTGTAACAGTAATAAGAGATATAATCAACTCTTTATTTCAGGACAAATAAATTGCCTTTTCAAAAATGAAATGTGGTTGCTAACATTTTAACAGTGCGCAATGTAATTCCTGCCTGCTATTCTCAGAGTGCAATCTGCTGTGATGACATAGCCTCTGAGTGTTTGACTTTGCTGAAATTATTGTAAGGTTCTTGCACCCTCCATCAGTGCATGATGACCTCCGCATGAGCTCGGGCTGTGGCTCAGAGCAGTAAGTGGTCCTTGTCCTGGCAGAAAACAAGCCACAGGCACCTTCAAAGCAGACCACAAGTTGCCCTTTTGTGCCTGGTTTGGGCTTGGAAATGTGGACAAGTTTTAAAGCTGTTTAAGTTTACTTCGAAAAAAGTAAAATGAATCTCTTCTAAAGTGTGCTTGACCCTTGAGTCCTTCTGTATGAAAAACTCCCCCAGGCTTTTGTGGAAATTATGCAAGTAGAATGACTGGCAGGCTGGGGTGGGAGTTATTTGTAGAACAAATGCACAATCAGATCCCAAACCCCACTAGAATAGGTTTAATGCAAGGTGCATTTCACCTTCGAATGGCTACTGGGAATCAAAATAAAAAATAAAATAAAATAAGACTAGACTGAGGCTGCTTGTAATCTCTGCAAGTGTCCAAGCTGAAAAGCACTACAGAAAGCCATTATGCCTTGCATCTGCATGTCAGATGTACCCAAAACTGCTTGCTTGGCATTCCTGAGCATGGTGGCTGAGGTTGTGTCCTGGACAGTGGAGCTGGGAAGCATAGGGAAAAACAATGTGGGGATGGGGCGGCTGTGGGGCTGAGGGAAGGGCAGTTGTGTCCTCTGCACCCACAGCACATCTCTTCACATGGGATTCTGCATGAAAGCCTCCACACAGAGAGTTTACAGAGTGTTCTTCTGGTTAGAGAGATGATCCCAGAATGTGGGTGCTTGTTTTGGCTCCAGTGAAGAGACAGGCTGATACTCAGCAGGTCCGTAGTATTTATAGAGCAGTTTCAAAGACTTTAATCCCCTCTTCTTCCCCTCCCAAGCACAAAAGCACGTTTCTAAAGCAGGATCTTGTGGGAGAAAAAAGTATTACCATATTATTTTTCAGAAGACCTTAATGTGGTCATTTATTTTAGAAACAATGGGTAAAGACGTCAGATTTATTCCTTATTCATCTTTCTATCTCAGTTCTAATCTTCTAATAGCCTTAATTAAATGCTGAGTAGTTTAGAATATTATTAAATAGCTTTCATAGGATTTTTTTTATTTCTGATTACATCATGAGTACAGATTATTTAATATTCCATTCATTTTAAAATTATGATTAAGAGGATAATCCCAAAAAGATGTTTGTAACAATTTTAACTAAGCTGTATTAATTGAGTTAGGGGATAAGAAATGAGATTTAAAGGGTGAACAAGGGGTAAAATCAAAGCCTGCACAGTTTTAAAATCAAGTGGATTAAGAGATTGGTCAGAATGGAGAAGGTGGCAGGTCAAAAACTGAACTGGTTCAAATAGAAAATTCACTCACTTTTGGGCCATGTGTCTGTCTTTCACGGAAATCATGTGCAACAGCACCCGGTGTAATATGGCTAAACATGAAAGGGAACGAGTGCTTGTTACGGGTCAACGGACTGCACATTGTTCATCGTCAGCCTAAGGTGTGCAACATTAAGGGACATACAAAAGCCTGCTCAAGTGTTACCATCTGTGACAGCGTTGTGTCCCCAGATGTGCCCAAGCATACCAGATGAATCTCCAGCATGCCCGTGTCCCACAGCTTGGGCCCTTTTGCTGAAGTGATGTGTTGGGTGACCCTGAGACACCAATGTTTTGATGCATTTTGGTTAGGATGCTGAGTGTGGGGCCTTTCAGCCCTCATTACCATTCCCTCCATTTGTAAATCACTAGTTGTATCACATTCAGAATTTTGCTGGGTTATTTCTTCTAAGATGAAATGTTTGCTTAGAATTGATTCAGTGCAGCTTTTTTGGTGGCCACTCTTTTCTTAGGGGCCATCCCCTTCTTCCTTGCTGTACAGAGGTCTTTACATGAGATGTTCCATCTCACCACCTCTTGTAAGGAACACAGCTCTAATGTATTTGGAAGTCAGGGAAGATATTTTTACTTGTGTTCCTTAATCTCTGCATGAGTAACTGAAGGCATTCACATATTGGAGGAACTTCTGCAGTCATTGGTAATTATGGAAATGACAGCACCCTTTACAGTTCTCCCATGGGGACATGAGAACAAACCAGTGCCTGTAAAACTGAGCCTGGGAGGAAAGACATGAAAGAAAATGAAACACAGAGTGCAGAGCTCAGGCTCTCAGGAAGGGATGAATGAGGCAAGGTACCTTTATTTCAAATATGGACAAAGAGAGCCTAACCCACAGCACTACTGTCACAGACATTACCATGTATGCATCATTTCTCTACAGTTACACAAGCGTCCTTTAAGAATTAAAGCAGTCTATATGACAGCCTTAGGAAGAGCAGAGTGAATCAGCCCATGGTACCGGGAGAAAAGTACATGTTTCATATTTCTTTCGAGCACTTACTTGTTCCAGAAGTTTTCCATGGGTTCAGGGTACAAACAGGGATCTTTAGAATCACACATCCAAACGAGGCTGAGAAGAGCCTGACTGGGAGAAAGCAGCATCTACACCCAGCAGAGAAAAATAGAAAATGAATTTGAATGTAGCCAAGAAGAGTAAAATGCTGTGATGAATGATGGAAACATTAGTTCTGCAGGTTCAGTTATAGAGGCTGGGATTTAATCTGTTTAGATCTTTTTCTTCCAAGCTTAACAGCTTTAATTATTTTTACGAAGAAAAAAATCAATACGTCCTTACACACTATTAATAAAAAAATCAAGTATCATTGATATTTGAAAACAGAAATCATAAAGAACATATTGCATTCACACCAACTACATCCCAAACAGAATGTTAATAACATTAACCTTTACTCTATCAGATATTTTCAAGAAATACCGCTGTATTTTTTGCAATGGCTCATATCTGTCATTTAACTGACATGTGATCTTTGCTAAGTTTGCCAAATCACTGAGGCCTGAATACCATTCAGCAATGTTAATTTTGTTTTCCTATTCCACCCTTTACACAATTATTCTCACGGCAATCATTCTAGCCTTGAGTATAAATAATACTTCAAGTGGTTTGTTGATATCCAGAAAATGATGTGTATCTACATTAAGAGATTCTGGAATCTAATGGGAGAACCATGCATATTATTAAGCTGAAATGCCTATTTCTTTCCTCCCAGATGGGAAGTAGTACAGGGTAGTGCCATGGCATATGCATTAATTTTATTCCTTCCGCAAATTTTAGCACATATTATTTTTGCAGATTTTGAGTCTTTGCCTCCTAACAAATATCCAGGAGATTTAAACAGGATTTTTCTGCAGAAGGGATCTCAGTCTTAACACTTAGGACCTTGGATAATTCTCAGGTGAGCTGAGGAAGAGGAGAATGGAGCAGTTCTTTTCTGGAGAATAAGGACAGAAATGTGAGTTTCGTAGGAGGAGTCCTCAAGGATTAACAGACTCAAAAGTGAGACAGAGAGTAATTTTCCTGACTCCATATTTCAGTTCTATAGATTAAGAAGCTTGTTCTGAAGGTCCTAGTAATAAATAAGGAGCACACTTAAAATGAAAGGGGATAACAACCACATTGTAACGTGAAACATAAATCTTATAACATGTCTGTAAGAATTGTTACCCCATTAATACACAGAAATACTTTTCTATTTAAAAATCAGTCTCTAACAGATTTCTTGCTAGGCCTGGGGATTTCTTCCATGTTCTCTTCCACACTTTTTATTTCACATTACTGCTTTTTTCCTGTTCCAAGCCTTGTGCACCCTTCTCATTCCTTCCAGTCCAATTTGACTTTTACTTCCCTGGGACTTGGGAAGAGGGGAAGGAATACACTGCATTACATGCTGAATGTTTGTGTGGGAGCGAGCCATGTGGGAGTGCTTCTTGCAGCACTTTACGGACACTCAGAAGGAGCAGTTTAAAGTCAGAATTGTTGGTGTTTACAGACGTGAAAACATTGTAGGCCCACCTCTGGAAAGGCAGATGGTCTGAGAAGGCAACAAAGCGGTACGAAATGAGGCTTGAGCTTACTTGATCTACTTTTTCTTTTTTCTCTTTTACTTACTTGGTTCTAGTAGCTTGATCTGTATATCTTAGCCTTCACCATTCACCTATGAGCATTTTTAAGTTGCGCACGTTCATTAATGGCTGTGGCTCTGAAGACCTGAGCCTAGAATTAATGCTGAGCTTCAGATCTGTGAAGCAGGACTTCATCTGCACTCTTCCTGATTCTCCAGAACCTTTCCAAATGGAGAAATGCATCTGCCTCCAGAACAAAAAGTAGTATTATAGTGTGCGGGCACATACTGCTCCACGTCAGCAGCCCTTTCCCCAACCAGATCAGCACCAGCTACGTAATTCTTTTAAAAGAGTGGATCAGATGTCCAAAACAAAACAGTGCATAGCCAGCTGCAAATCTACATACAAACTGATCTTTTTCAGTATCCGTCTAGTATATCTTGGTTTGAATTCATCCTTCCTTCAGTTAATAAATATTTCAGGGTCCTCCCTCTGCCCACTGAGTACCTGGGAGCCTATGGTGAAAGCATCCCTAGTTTGACATCTCAGATACCCTGAGTTTAGACAACTCATTTAGGTGCTATGAGTAAATGGGATGAAGCCAGCCTTTGTTTCAGCTGTTTGTTTTCTTTTTCTTTCATTTCCCCCATCAGCACAGATCCGATTTTTCTCAGGATGAGTTCTGCTGTGTCTGAATTCCTTTTTGTGTTCTTCCCAGCATTCCAGTCAGTGCTGCACTGCAGCAGCACACCCCTCTTTGGAATGTTATTCCCTCAAGACTCCCATGGCACAGAGAGATGGGTAATGTTTTCTGAGCTTCTTCCACTATTACCACATTTTCTATAGAGGATCAAAATGGATTATTTTCATCTTGACATGCAAATGCCTAGGCTGTGCCCTTGGCTGAGATCTCAGCATTGACTACAGAAGTAAAAGATACGGGGGAAGTAGCTTTTTAATATCACATATGGAAATGGCAGCCTTATTTCTTAAGAAAAAGAAAAAAAAAGAAAACGACTGTAATCCATTGTGCCTTAAAAAAAGAAGGATAATACAAATATTTCCTCGTGCACTTACTGAATGCTGCATTCACATGCAGTTGTCGATCTGCATAAGGGTAGATGAACACTGTGTGCAAGATCTCACTGTTGTACCCTGATCTGCCCAGTTGCTGTGCCAAAGTATTGATGGAAAGAAAAGACATTCATGAATAATTTTACCCAGTCAGATTACAAGCCTGAATATGAGCATTTACTGAGTGGTGGTATTAAAGCAGAAGTAGGAAGGATTTCTAAAACTCGTTGTGAAATGCTTATAAAGCTAAAAAGGTCAAATTCTTCTCCAATTTTCACTCCTCACAATAGCAGTTAAATAAATGAAATAACATGATGTGCAAATTGGTGCAGGATACAACCTGCAGAATATGTCAACACACAGTAAAAGCCATTGTGTGTGGTTTCATGTTAACACGAAAGAATTGATATCTGACCATGAGAGTATCAGCACTGACTCACTGTTTCTAATTATTATTATATTTCTTTCTTTCTTTTTTTTTTTTCCTTGAAACAACAACAACAGCGACAAAGCAGCATCAAGCAATTGCCTCCTGGCTAGCATTCTCGGCAAACCCTCATGACTATTGACTCAAATGAGCAGCCCAGCAAGTAAGTTGTTAGCTTAAATGAAAATTATAACAGAGACAAAAATGTCAGCCTGGGAACTGAACTAATAAGGGAAAGAATGTGCATGAAGCTGCCGGCGCCGTTTTAAACCTCAAGAAGAATAAAGGAAAGCACGGCTACCCAAATTAACTTGTGAGGCGGAGGTCAATTAAAATGCCCACTCTCGCCGTGACTGTGCTCCCAGCAATGTGGCTGGAGTTTGGCATCTCAGGTTGGAGGGGGATGGGATGCGTGGCAGGCAGCAGGGTGGTGGTTGGGGAAGGGGAGTTGGTTCTCTCCAGGGTAGGTGGGTTGCTGGCATGGGACGAATGGTTGGAAGGGAGAGATGATCAGCCATGGCGGGCTTGCTCCGTGCAGCCCCTGGACGCCACTCAGACTGAGGTCTTGGACACAGTCCACTGTCAGGCCTCCTGCCAGGGGATTTGTTACTGTGAGAGCTTGGCTTATGCAGGATTTTATTGCAAAAATTGTCTTGATTCTTCTTCCATCTTATTAAAATCTATCCCGTTCTTCCCTTCTGTGCCAGGAGGAAGAATATTTTGTATATATCTGGGCAAAACACACAAACAAATTCATTTCCCATGGATAATATATTCAGGGTGATTTGCTTTTTAGAGTCAGGAGCTCAAAAAGATGAATTTATTATGCAAAGTAATAATTGCAAATTATATTGGCAAACTCCATTCCAGAAAAAAAATGGGGTATTAATATAACTAAAAGGATTAAAAAATACTGGCTGTTAACTTGGGGCTACTGCAGATATTTTAGGAGGTTATATATCTCTGTTCCACCTAAACCACCAGAGGCAGTAGCTTTCATTTTAAAGGTCTAGTGAGATACCGTAATTAATGGGCCCACCTAACAGCATATGCTGCACTTATATTGAGTAGTAGGACATGGTACGTATAATGAAAGAAAGTGAAGGAAATGCTTAGTGTCATAAAAATTAGCATCTCTCTCACTTTTTTTTTTTTTTTTTCTGCTATGAAGGAATGAAATACATCAGAGTTCAAACACAAAAGAATTTACCTCCAGTTTTTGGGTCAAGCCAACCTGTGCAAGTGAGGCAAGTGAATTGTGTATGTTGATTTTTTGGATCCTTCTTATGATCCCCTGGAACTATACAGTACTTCCCAAGTGCAGGTCCAGGTGAACTGGAGGATGGTGGCTCTTCCACCTTGCAATCACCTACAGTCTCCCTTGCTGGTTCAGTCCTATATGGCCAGCAGTAGAAAGGGGCCCTAGTAGTTGTCAGGGCTGAGGCTCCAACATAATTCTTGTCAGCCACTTGGGATTTATTTTGCAGGATCTGTACATTAGGTTAGGATTCTCAAAGGATTAATTTGCAATCACAATCTTCATGAAAAAAAGCACAGCTCTTTGCTGCTATAGAATTATTTTCACCTCTGGCACACATGCCCCATTAGGAAGTACTCTGTGGTCAATTATATTTTCCAGGATAGTTGAAATTTATGGGTAATTATTAAAAAAATAATGTACTTGTAAACCTTGCAAGTAATAGTTGCAATACTTGCACTGTAATTCATAGACATAGCACCATTAGAAAGTGATGGAACATATTAAACTAGTGACATTTTTAGCATACTTTCATGAAAGCATGAGATGAGAATGAAAAAAGAGGATTTAGGTGCTTCACAAGTTACTGTTCTGGCTCTGGCACACGTGCTAGCTGTGCACTTGAGACAGTCCCCAGATAGGGTGGTAGTTATTAAGCATGTGAAAGGGACTTTGGAGACAAAAGAGTGATGGCAGTTTACACACCAAGGCAAACTAAGAACAAACCGTCTAAAACTTATTCCCTCATCTTTACTTCTAATGTGCATTACCAACATTCATTGAGATGAAAGGACTTCTACTTTGTGGAAAAAGAGTAATTGGAAAAAAAAGAGGGGCAGTGGAGATCTAATAGGTAAACACTGAACTTATGATCAACAATTTCTTCACCGAACAACAAACCTGCATTTTGCTTTTCAAGCAGGGAAAAAGACCGTTCGATTCACAGATTATCACGTGGATCCCAAGACCAGCGTGACTGCGGTGATCAAGAGGAGCAGTCTGCAGCTTCCAGTTTTGCCCATCTTGACCAGCCTACAGTATCAATAACAAGAACAAAGGTAAAACTGTTCCTCAAATGTCACCACAAAGTTCCCCTAACACGTCATCAAGCTGTGCTTTGATGTTAGTCCTACCAGTCAGATGAGGATACAGGTGATCCCCCTCCTTTTAAGCACAATAATTCAAACTAAACTCATAAACAGAACTGGAAAAGAGAATGAGAACTCAGTAAAACCAGACAAAGCTAAATAAATACTCAGCCAAAGCCAGTTCTCTTGGTCTATGTAGAGATACACTTGTGAGGAAGACAATTCCTAAACAACTGGTCAACAGTTTTCACCAGAAACACAGCCTTTGCTAGAAATTTTACCATGGTCATGTGGTGGTGTTTTGATATGGTATGAAAGATTCTTTTTTGCTGCTGCGCTATGTTTTCAATGAAACTGCTATAACAGCTGATGACACAAACTACAAGGAGTGAGGTGGTAGGACCTATATCAGTGAGATGCCATTGTTTTTATAAAATATACGCTGTGATATTTAGTGATAAGTAGTGAAGAATCACAAATAGTTACTACTGATTCCTACATGCCAAATAAAAGAAAAAAATATGTCCTTTTTTTCCTGTTAAGATGCAACATGATAAGGCAAAGTTAACCACAGTGGTTACAGTGCAAGCAGAAAACACAGATTTTAAAGTATGTTGGTAGAATCTGAATGACATTAAGATAATTATACAAAAACAGAAAGTCAGCTTTGTATTTCCTTGTTGGAGACTAAAATCTGATTCAGAGACTCTGACTTTCTCTTCTGCTTGCTTGCAGAATCATCTAAGCGGGGTTTTATGTTATTTCATAAATTAGAGTGTTTGGCAGCCTGGCTGCTTCTACCATCATTGAAAGAGAGGCATGTCCAGGAATTGGTGCAGCCCATCAGGTGTGTGAGAGGCAGCCCATGGGTTGCTGACATCTGGGGATGCCACAATGGTCCCACATAGAAGTGTCTCTGAGGCTGGAAATCCCAAATGATGAATAAGCATCCTATGCCTCAGCTGGTCTCAGTTCAGCTGGCAGAGGGACCTCTTGACTTGGTAGCCCAACATTCATATGCATGTAGATTTTATATCCCTTTCTCTTTGTTTCCAAAGCAACTGAGAAGAGATTACTGTTTTCTGTTAAAATACTTCTGGAAGAGGATACAGAAAGTGCCCACCCCCTCCTTGCGGTGCAATAGCCCATTGTCAGGGCAGTCACACAGGAAGAGGGACACATGGGTTCCATTTCCCTTCTGCCTCAGGCAACACAAGCCCGTGTTTCACACCCTTTAGGAAAATGACTGCAGTCAAGGAGAGGATTCAGGATTCACAGGGCCAATGACCAAATATGAAAGGGAGCACGGCTCCAGGGCCTCAGGCATCCTTTTGGTTCCACTCCCTGCTCTCAGGATTGTTTCTGCCTTTTATTTAAAGGCTATTTCATGTAAACATGAACTGAGGAGACACGATGGTGCAGTTTCATCACCATCTGATAACTGGAAATACATAGGCCACGCCTTGCAGAAAAGAATGAAATGTACATATTTTTATTTGAATAAAAAGCAAACAGATTATGGCTATGCAGTAGATAGAGATGAGTGTAAGGGAGTATAGTAGCACTATTCAAGATAATGGAAACAAGAAGGTAAAATAGGTTCTTCTGTTAATCCACTTAAGAAAATAAAGTTCACTGAAGCCATAAGGAAAAAAATCTAATCAAAGCAAGCATTTAAAACAAAGCAAAGCAAAGCAAAACAAAACAAAACAAAAGCTGTAATTAACCTGGTAAACTCACTGATATTGGGTATAACTTAGGCCAAAAGATTAGTAGGATTCAAAAAGGATTAGACATCTATATGCATAATGAAAATATCCATAAGCTACCATGGTCTCAACTCTTGTATAGAATATCTTGCTTCTTAATGCCTTAATGACAACTTCTGTCTCACTGAGATCTTGCAAAGTGCCTCTCTTAATCAAGGAACTTTACACGTGGTGTGTAGAGCCAACCTCACTCCTTCCCTCCAAAAAACAAACCCCAAACTAAATTAACAACAGAACAGCTAAAATAGAATGCATACTTTTATACTACTGATATTCCAGGGAATTAACCTGTATACTTACACAAAGTAGTGATTTTACAAACTTAGATGATATTTGTACACCTCTTAAGTCAGTGTTTCTACAATTTGTGAGAAATTCAGCCTCAGTAAACAGAGAGAGAAGCCCAGTCTGACCACTTAGCTGCTTGAGATATAAGGAGAATATCCTAGATCCATTTCAGTAGAAGATAAACCACAACAGGGTCTGTCTTCCCACTGTCAGTGTATTAATTGGGGTAAGAGTTAGGTCACAGGAATGGTCTTTGTAGAGCAGCTCTGTACCCATATTGTAGTGAAAGAAATGGAAAATTACCAAATCTCCTTGTGCATATTTCATGCAGATTGAGGCAAAACTGCTCTTTTTTTTTTTTTTTTTTTTTTTTTTTTTTTTTTTTTTTTCATTCGGTGAGGTAGAGATACACAGAACGCTTGGAAAATCAGAGATTATTTTTGAATATAAGGGCTGGTGTTATAAACAGTGTCGTTCCTTTTGTAGACTCAGACTCAGAAAGAATAAAAAGATCTGAAAATAACTGTTGAGGTTTTGTAACAGTTTTTAGTTTGTATGAGGCCACAGAAGTTTGGAGAAGGCTAAAATTTACATAAGATCGTAGTTGGTTACTGCTTATGGTAGACTCTCCATAAGCAAATGTAGAATGAGAATTGCATTTGAATTTATCTTTTTTTTCCTATGACTTTTTGGTTCACTCCCCATGCAGTGAGCCATCTATCAATTTCCTTCCCTGAGGAACATTTTGTCCTTGCTCTTTAATATGACCTTATTCCTTCAAATTCAGAGAGAGTGAGAGGACCTCCCAGCTTTCAGATTTCTGCTGAACATATTTCAGTGCTGTGAAATCTTTGGAATTCTCACCTAGCTGCCATAGTGCTGTCTCATATTCCTCAGTTCAGAGAACCAATCCCACGACCTATAGGTACACCTGGATGAGCTTATCATCAAGTGGATTCCAGAACGTCCCTGGGACCTCCTAAAGTTTTTGCAGTCCAGAGATGTTCTGTATCTCCTGTGGAGGAGACTGGAGAATGTATTTCCTTTGCAAAGTTCTTTCTACCAATTTAAATTTAAGAACTAACTTTAATTGTGAGTGATATTTAATAATTCCAGGCTCAGTATGCTCCTCGTTTAAAATTTGTCAGCATTACTGTATTGTTGTTCGCAAAAGTAACAAAAGGTGTTGCAATAGTGATTCATTTTGGCAAATTAATCCTGCAGTGGGATTTCAAATGCAGGCATTTGTCCCCTGGGATTAGACAGCAGCAGCCTGTGGAATTATTTCTGACATTTCATCCATCATAGACTCAGAATAGCTAAACAAACCATTGCTGTTCTCTCCCTGTTCAAGGAACAACTTTCACAGAGCCTTCCCACGGAAATATCCCAACCTATTAGTGTCAGGAAACTGTGCTTGGAAAGTTAAGAGAAAAAAGAAAATTCTTCCACAGCCAAAAGGAAAAGATGTTATCGTACGTCAATAATGCACACTGGGAGGTCTTCTCAGAAATAGTTATTGGGCTGGTGTAAATCAGAATGGCATAACCAGTGTGAGTATATCGATTTTGTTCAGTTCAGTTCAGAAATCTATACTACAGGAGTGACTAGATCTCCAGATTTGAGATTTTGGACTTACTCTCCTTTATGTAAATGACCAAATCAGTAGTAGATGAAACAGGGGGAAGACAGAGTCCTCTAATGCTGCTTCTTCCTTTTTTTTTTTGTTTAAAAAATTATGTTTTAAGACAGGTGATGTTTTCAACACTGTCTCACATCTACATTTTTCAGGCTTTTCTTGAAAAGTTGCAAATCTACTACCGTGCCTAAAGTGTTTACTTCAATGATCTAATTCCTGTCTACATATAGCCAAAACTAGATTAGCTCTAGTATTTAAATACCACAGCATCAGTGAACAATAACTCTGGACTAGCTCATTATTAGAAGGTAATAACATTTTAATCTGTATTAAAGTGCAGTGTTGTCTGATTGATCTCAAATTGGTTTCCCGTTCTGGAGACATCTCTAAGGATATAATCAAAATTACATGAGGTTCTTCCCCTCCCCTCCCCTTGCCTCCCCTCCCCTCCCCTCCCACTTTAATAACCAATATAATGTGCTTTGAAGTAACGTGGTCTCACACTGAAATCTATAGTCAAACACCTAAACTAACAGAAAAGGTAAAACCGCCACAAGGGAGAATTTAGAAACGGAAGTGCATAATCAGATAAATGAGAAGAAAGTTTTGAAAAGCATTGCAGAGGAGTAACAGGAGATATTGCTGGTGTGTTTCTTACTACACTGTTGTTTTCCTTCAGTAAAAGTTCTATCAGCTGGGGAGAGTTGCTCACTTCTTTGAAGCTGGCTCTTGTTTCTCTGAAATCAGATTCCCTATTCCCAGGGCTCCACTCCGCAATGCCAGCACAAACATACATCAGCAGCTGCACAGCACTTTAAAGACTATGCAAGAAGCTATCAAGCAATTATTTATTCCACTTTAGATCCACGTTCATTATTTTCATGGAGTAAGTTTGAAGTTGGGGGAATATAAATCTGAGAAAGTAAATACACATTTTGCAACCTGCAACTCACCTAAGAAGTAAACTCACCTACCTTTAATTGAAGAGACAAGACCTGTAGATAAAAAAGAAAAATTTCTCACCAATGGGTAAAGCTGTAAAGAATACTTGAGTCTTTATTTAAAGCAGTGAGTTTTGATATGATGAAGCACTAGTGGCCTTATTCCTTCAGCCTACTTGGGGTCAGGTGCAATTCTAGCTGCTTCTATGCTTGTATAGCATTGTGTGTGAGATGGTTTCATTCACGATGTATTCCCTAAAAAGTCAGTAGATCTGTGCTGATGATGAATTAGTCCTTTAGAAAAAGGTAACAAAGAAACTATACTGGAAATTT